AACTTGTATATGTTTCATGAAGTTCTCATGCTGTGTTTTTTAGCTCTGTCAGGTGGTTTATGTTCTTCTCTACACTGATTATTCTAGTTAGCATTTTGTCTAACCATTTTTCAAGGTTCTTAGCTTCCTTGCATCAGGTTAGAACATGCACATTTAGTTCAGAGAAGTTTGTTATTGCCCACCTTCTGAAGCCTGCTTCTGTCAATTTGTCAAACTCATTCTCTGTCCAATTTTGTTCCCTTGCTGGTGAGGAGTTCTGACCCCTTGGAGGAGAAGAGGTGTTCTGGTTTTTGGAATTTTCATCCTTTTTGCACTGATTTCCTCCCATCTTTGTGGATTTATCTACCTTTAGTCTTTGAAGTCGGTGACCTTTGCATGGGGTCTCTGAGTGAACATACTTTCTGTTGATGTTGAAACTATTTCTTTCTGTTTGTTAGTTTTCCTTCTAACAGTCAGGCCCCACTGCTGCAGGTCTGCTGGAGTTTGCTGGAGGTCTACTCCAGACCCTGCTTGCCTGGGAATCACCAGCAGGGGCTGCAGAACAGCAAAGATTGCTGCCTGTTCCTTCCTCTGTAACTTCGTCCCAGAAGGGCACCCCCTAGATGCCAGCCAGAGCTCTCTGTATTAGGCATCTGTTGGCCCCTGCTGGGAGATGTCTCCCAGGTAGTATACATGGGAGTCAGGAAGCCACTTGAGGAAGCAGTCTGTCCATTATCAGAGTTCAAACACTGTGCCAGGAGATCTGCTGCCCTCTTCAGAGCTGCCAGGCAAGGATGTTTAAGTCTGCCAAAGATGTACCCACAATCGTCCCTTTTCCCATGTGCTCTGTCCTAGGAAGGCGGGGGCTTTATTTATAGGTCCCTGACAGGCTGCTGCCTTTTTTCAGGGATGCCCTGCCTAACAAGGAAAGAGTCTAGTGGCACAGCCTGCCTGCAGAGGCTTTGCTGAGCTGCCGTGGGCTCCACCTACTTTGAACTTCTCAGCGACTTTGTTTTAACAGTGAGGTTAAAACCACCAACTCAAGCATCACGATTAGCAGATGCCCCTCCTCCCACTGAGCTTGAATGTCCTAGTTGAGCTCAGGCTGCTGTGCTGGCTGTGAGAATTTCAAGCCAGTGGATCTTAGCTTGCTGGTCTTTGTGGGGGTGGGATGTGCCGAGCCAGATCACTTGGCTCGTGGCTTCAGCCCCCTTTCCAGGGGAGTAGACGGTTCTGGTCTCACTAGTGTTCCAGGTGCCACTGGGGTATGGAAAAAAAAAAAAACTGCTGTGGCTAGCTTGGTGTGTTCCCAAATGGCTGCCCAGTTTTGTGCTGGAAACCCAGGGTCCTGGTACTGTAGGCACTGGAGGGAATCTCCTGGTGTGCAGGCTGTGAAGACCATGGGAAAAGTGCAGTATCTGGAGTGCAGGGGATAGTCCCTAATGGCTTCCCTTGGCTAGAAGAGGGAGTTCCCCAATCCCTTGCACTTCCCGGGTGAGGCGATGCCCCACCCTGCTTGGGGTCACCCTTTTTGGGCTGTATCCATTGTCTAACCAGTGCCAATAAGATGAAACAGGCACCTCAGTTGGAAATGTGGCAATCACCTGCCTTCTGCATTGCTCTCACTGGGAGCTGCCCACCAGAGCTTTTCCTATTCAGCTAGCTTGCCAACAATCCCTCTAGTAGCTTTTCTTTTTATCTTAGAAATGTGATAGTTATTTTCAAGTTTTGTTGAGGGGGGGATTGTAGGGAGGTTGGGGAGGGATAACATGGGGAGAAATGCCAGATATAGCTGATGGGGGATGGAGGCAGTAAACCACATTGCCATGTATGTACCTATGCAACCATCCTGCATGATCTGCACATGTACCCCAAAATGGAAAGTTAAAAAAAAATTAGAAACACAATGTTTGCTGAAGTAAAACTATTTAGATTTGCTGCAAATCCACTTGATATCAATAAGTCCTCTGGAACTATGGACTCCATCAGCACTCAAGAAAGCAAAGGATCCATTCCCTGTAATTTCCAACCTGAAAAAGAACATTCTAAATCAGTCTGAAAACCACATAGAGCTGTAATCAAAAAGACAATTAACAATGGAATGATTCCAAATATATTATACCAAACAGTGAGTTCCCAGAAAATATACCCATCTTCATATGCTACACTAAAATATCTGGCATGCTAAGGGAAAACAAGACTTAACTGCAGTATGTTTCTGCAGTGTTTTAAGTGTTTGTTGGAGTTAAAATCTGTAACCCTATTTAAAACAATTTGTAGATAGGCAGACAGACACACATAGATATATAAAGACGGGGAAACCATTATTTCCTTCCTTCTTTCCCTTCCTTCCTTCTTTCCTTTCTTCCTTCTTTCCTTCCTTCCATCCTTCCTTCTTTCCTTTCTATCTATATAGAAAGACAGAGAGTTTTTCCCAAATTCAAAGATCTCTGAAATTTAAAAAATCAGATTTCTGGCCTAATTTTAGTCAATGTAATTTTTCAAAAACTAAAAATAAGATTTATATTTACTTGGTACTTTTGAAACGAACTGCAGTAGAAACCTAAGAGACTGCTTACAATATGTTTTTACACTTCACCTTCATGGATAGGAAAAATCAATATCATGAAAATGGCCATATTGACCAAAGTAATTTATAGATTCAATCCAATTCCCATCAAACTGCCATTGACATTCTCCACAGAATTAGAAAAAAAATACTTTAAATTTTATATAAAACCAAAAAACAGTCCATATAGTCAAGACAATTCTAAACAAAAAGAATGAGCTGGAGGCATCACGTTACCTGGCTTCAAACTATGCTACAAGTCCACAGTAACCAAAATAGTATGGTACTGGTACCAAAACAGATATATAAACCAATGGAACACAACAGAGACCTCAGAAATAATGCCACACATCTACAGCCAGCTGATCTTTGACAAACCTGACAAAAACAAGCAATGGGAAAAAAAATCCCTGTTTAATAAATGGTGCTGGGAAAACTGGATAGCCATATGCAGAAACCTAAAACTGAATCCCTTCCTTACATCTTACAGAAAAATTAACTCAAGATGGATTAAAGACTTAAATGTAAAACCCAAAACCATAAAAACCCTAGAAGAAAACCTAGGCAATACCATTCAGGACATAGGCATGGGCAAAGACTTCAGGACTGAAACACCAAAAGCAATTGCAACAAAAGCTAAAATTGACAAATGGAATCTAATTAAACTAAAGAGCCTCTGCACAACAAAAGAAAGTGTCATCAGAGTGAACAGGCAACTGACAAGATGGGAGAAAATTTTTGTAATCTACCCATCTGACAAAGGTCTAACATCCAGAATCTACAAGGAAGTTAAACAAATTTACAAGAAAAAAAAAACTATCAAAAAGTGGGCAAAGGATATAAAGAGCCACTTTCTCAAAATAAGACATTTATGCAGCCAACAAACATATATAAAAAAAGCTTAGCATCACTGATAACTAGAGAAACGCAAATCAAAACCACAATGAGATACCATCTCATGCCAGTCAGAATGACAATTATCAAAAACTCAAGAAACCATAGATGCTGGTGATGGTGTGGAGAGATAGGAATGCTTTTACACTGTTAGTGGGAATGTAAGTTAGTTCAACCATTGTGGAAGACTGTGGTGATTCCTCAATGATCTAGAACCAGAAATACCATTTGACCCAGCAATCTCATTGCTAGATATATACCCAAAGGAATACAAATTATTCTATTATAAAGACACATGGACACATATATTTATTGCAGCACTATTTACAATAGCAAAGGTATGAAATCAACCCAAAAGGGCTATCAATGATAGACTGGTTAAAGAAAATGTGGCACATAGTGGTACCACAGAATACTATGCAGCCATAAAAAGGAATGAGATCTTGTCCTTTGCAGGGACATGGATAAATCTGGAAGCCATCATCCTCAGCAAAGTAAACAGGAACAGAAAACCAAACACTGGATGTTCTCACTCTTAAGTGGGAGTTGAACAATGAGAACACATGGACACCTGGAGTGTAACAATACACACCCAGGTCTGTCAGGGGGTTGGAGGATGCGGGGAGGGAGAACATTAGGACAAGTAGCTAATGCATGTGGCACTTAAAACCTAGATGATGGGTTGATAGGTGCAGCAATACACTATGGCACATACATACCTATATAACAAACCTACACATTCTGAACTTGTATCCCAGAACTTACAGTAAAATTATATTTTTATATATACATATATAGTTTTTTAAATGTTTCCTTTGTTGACAACCAAATCTTTTCTTATTTATAAATATAATTTGTCCTGTCTTGCATATTTCAATATTTATATTATTGGTTGTTTTTCTTATCTAGCACTTAACTAAAATAATAAGGCAGAAATACATATGTATCCATGAAACAGTTATATAAATAAAAAAGTAAACTAATAAAAAATAAACAAAAATTAAAAAAATAAATACAATGTTTCTTATGATGAACATTTGGAAAGCTAAAGACAACTACACAATCTTTAACTGGTTTATCCCAAGAAACACTTTTAACAATTTTAATTCACTCAGGAAATGTTTACAGAAATAAATAAAATAAGCAACAAATAAATAAAAATAAATAATATTCATTGTGGCAGACATTTGAAATGTTAAAGACAATTATAAGGTCTTTAACTCTTTAAAGACAAAGAGATCTTATATAAACTTAATTAGGTGGAAAGAGGTACAAGTAATACACGAGTTTTGGTTTGAAATTGGGAGAATGGTTGAATTTGAATTACAAAAGAGCACTTATTGTCAAGCAAGAGCTTATTGTAAAGCAAGAGCTTGACAATAAAGATAACAAATAAAATAAAAATGGAAAATTTCACCATGTGTTATTTAACAAGGTGAGAAGAAAATGGGTTACTCTAGCATGTGTTTCAATGTGAAAGGGCCCATGTCATAGATAGGAGACTGAAAAGTTAATTACACTTAGAATAGAGAAAGATTTGTTTATAATACAACTGAAAATGATTTAGAAATTTTTATACAACATCAGAATAAGAACATTCCTAATATACTGGAAACTCATCAATTATTGAATATGGTGCCATTTGTCCATTTCCAAGAATCTCCTGGTTTCCTGCTTAGTCCAATCCAGTACGTATCAGTTCCTGTGAACCTCTTCAAAAATTCCTTTCACAAAGCAAAGGGAATCATCAATTACTTAACATGTTACAGTACATTGCTGAACATGCTTCCTACCCTCCAATTATTCCATCTTTTAGGATTCACATTCTGATTTGTCTTCTCGGAGGCTTCTATAATAACAAACAGCACAGACATTGATATTTCAGTTAGTTTTGTCAGAAAGATTTTCATTTTGCTTCTCTGCATCTTAAATATCTTCAAATAGTTGGGCTATAATCAAGTAATTGATGCTGAGCTACACTCTGATTATCTTTAAAGGTAACTTTCATGTCTCTAGTTGGAAATTAATGAAAAAACCATATTTGAGTTTATTTCCTTCAAGTTCAAATTCCTAAACCATTAATACGTTCTAGTCACAGATTGAATGACATGAGGTATATATTAATATGATGTTAAATTTGCCTAGATGACAATATAAGACCTTAGCAAGTTCTATGAGATCTGATACAGCATCTTCTTCAAGGATGATAGAGAACTAATGTTTATGTATATTTTTGTGTGCACAGGTACTCTTCCAAAAATCATAGAAGAAGGATTGCAGGGGTACGAGTTTAATGGAAAGTATAAGTACTATTAGAATAGAAAAACCCAAGGATAAATTACTTTGATTATATACTACAATATGAATGTCACTGATACTGTTTTTATGTAATTAGATGTGAAACTTACTTCTATATGAATATAATTTACTGAACGAAATATATTAAGTGATGGATTTAGTCATTCCTCTATTGGCTTTTTGCTGTTGAACCACAAACCTCTTCATCAGCTTTTTGTTCTTTAACTTTTATTTTAGGTTCTGGGGTATATGTGAAGGTTTGTTACATAGGTGAACTTGTGTCATGAAGATTTGTTTTACAGATTATTTCATCACCCAGGTATTGAGCCATTAACCAATAGTTATATCTGTCATGTCTGTCATCACATAATTCTGGGTTAATCACAACAATGTGCTAATTGAGATCAATAGGAGAGGACTAGAAAGTTTTTACATACATCATTTACATAAGTACTGAACAAACTTCTTTATTAAGCAATTAATTAAACGTGAGTCTTATCCAATCCAAATAGAAACTGTCAGTAGTAATTTTAGATCAAAAATAAAAGTAGACAGACTTATTAGTTAAGGAAAGACATTTAAAAACAATTAATTCATCCATAACAAAAGAATTATAAAGTCAATCATGTAAACACCACTGCAACCATTGTGGTTCTGCTTTTAGCACTGAGGAACTGCCACACTGCTTTCCACAGTAGTGGAACTTATTTTCACGAACTTATTTTCACTCCCACCAACAGTGTATAAATGTTCTTCTTTTTCTGCAACCTCGCCAGCATCTATAGTTTTTTGGCTTTTTATTAATATCCATTCTGACTGGTGTGAGATGATATCTCACTGTGGTTTTGATTTGCTTTTTTCTAATTATCAATTATGTTGAGCTTTTACTCATGTTTGTTGGCGGCATGTATGTCTTCTTTTAAAAAGTGCCTGTTTATGTCCTTTGCCCAATTTTAATAGGGTTGTTTTTCTCTTGCAAATTTGTTTAAGTTCCTTTGTTTTGGCAGATGCATAGCTTGCAAAAATTTTCTCTCATTCTGCAGTTTGTCTGTTTACGGTGTTAAAAGTTTCTTTTGCTGTGAAGAAGCTCTTACATTTAATTAGATTACACTTCTCAATTTTTGCAATTTTTTGGGTTTTTTTTTTTTTTTTACCATTGCTTTTGTTGTCGTCATGAAATTTCCCTGTTTCAATGTCCAGGATGGTATTGCTTAGGTTTTCTTCCAGGCTTTTCATGCAGTTGACTTTTGTATATTGTATAAGAAAGGAGTCCTGCTTCTAATCTTTTGCATATGGCTAGCTAGTTATCCAGCACAACTGATTAAATAGGGAGTTCTTTTCCTACTGCTTGTTTTTGTCAGCTTGTCAAAGATGAGATGGTCATAGGTGTGTGGCCTTATTTCTGGGCTATTCTGTTCCATTGGTCTATGTGCCTGTTTTTGCACCAGTACCATGTTGTTTTGGTTACTGAAGCCCTGCAGTATAGTTTGCAGTCAGATAACATGATGCTCCCAGCTTTATTCTTTTTGCTAGGATTGCCTTGGCTATTTGGGCTCTTTTATGATTCCATATGAATTCTAAAATAATTTTTTCTAGTTTTGTGAAGAATGTCATTAGTAGTTTGATAGGAATGGCACTGAATTTCTGTCCTTCAATATCATTCAACTGTTAACCAGTCAGTTCAGCCTGGATAGAACTCTTGCTGGAGAACTGGTGCAGTTGTTTGGAGAACATGACACTCTGGCTATTTGAGTTACTGGAGTTCTTGCATTAATTCTCTCATCTCTCTGTGTGGGTGTTACTTTAACTGCAGTGCATATTTAGTACTTACTGTCAACAGACCTCTTTTTTGTATGTTTTTGTAGGGGTGAGTGATGGCTGTAGGTTGTGTCTTGGCACTCCTAGGCTGCCCACTGCAGCTCTTGGGTGATCTCAGTGTTTATGTTTCCTCCCCAACTTTGAGGCAGCAATGGAAGGGACCTTAGTAGTGGTTAAGGCCAACAGCCTTTTGCTTTTCTCCTGGGAGCTTCATTCCAGAGAGAAGCAAGTAAGCAATCATTCAGTGCAATCAGCCTAGGATGGAGAGTCTGTCTGTGGGCCCAAGCTGGGGGCTCCATGTCTGGTCAAGGTGGGTGGGCAGAGCCTGTGAAGATGGACTGGCCTCCTCTCCTGCAACTTATTAGAGGTGTGGATAAGAGACTTAGGGTCTCTGCTCCTTCGTTAGTCTGAGGGCAGCAAAGGTGGTTCCAGGACAGAGGCAGTGGCAGAGAGGTTTTCATTGCCCCTGAAGGCTCTGTCCAGGACATTCCAGAGCTGCTACTGGCTTGACAGCTCTGGAGAGGGGTGGCTGGAGGCTGAAACCTGGAGGACCCTCCCAGTCAAGAGACAAGGAGTTGGGCACCCATGTAATAGCCTGGCCAATTTTTCATAGGGCTGCTGTGGCATGGTGGTGGCCATCTCCAGTCCCTATTTACCTCCGATTTTCTAATACCTGTAGGTACCAATGGTGAAGCCTGCAAAACAGCAAAGATGGTGGTCTGCCCCTCTCTCTGTGAGCTCTGTGTCAGGCAGATACACACCTATTACCAGCCCAAACACACCTGAAGGAGGTGGCTAGCGACCCTGATTGCATATCCCATCCAGTGAGGAGGAATGGGATTGGGTATCCACTTACAAGAGCAGTCTGGCCACTTTTTTGTAAAGCAGCTGTCCTGTCCTGGGGGGCCACTTCTGCCCCTGGACAACATGGACTCTCCAAAGCCTGAAGGTTGGATGGCTAAATCATCCAAAGAGCAAAGATGGAGGCCACATTTCCCTCCAGGAGCTGTCTGAGGGAGGTGCAATGCTGTTATTGATGGCTGGCTAGAATTCCAAGCCAGTAGGTCCTATCCTGTGGGGTGCCATGGAAGTGGGTCCTGCAGAATGTCACTGCTCAGCCCCCTGGATACAGCCCTTTTACTAGGGACATATAAGGTAGTATAATCTCCCTCTTTGCTGGAGTTGCAGCTACTTTTGCTGAGAAGCCTGGAAAGCCTGTCTAAGGCTCCCAGGTCTCTGCATGTGCCTGAGTGGCTGCTCTCCTGAGGCTCTAGGTAGCTCTGTCAGACTGAAGGCCCTAGTGGAGTTGGTTCACAAGGAGATCTCCTGACCTGAGGGTTGCAAACATCCAGGGGAGCAGCATGCGATCCTGGGGTTGGACATTCACTCACCACTTCCCTGTGCAAGGAGAGGTTCCCCTGGCTCTGTGTCATTCCCAGGTTGGCCATCTGCCTGCCTTGCTTTTCTCCATTGTCCATGGGTTGAGTTGTTTCCATGATAAGTTACATTGTGTGTAACCTGGATGTTTCAGTTGAAAGTGCTGTATTTACTTACCCCTTCAGTGCCTCTCCGTGAGAGCTGTGCACACCAACTACTTCCAGCCAGCAATCTTGCCCACTACCCAATCCCCAGCTTTCTTTAAAAACTAACTAGTCTATTTTCTTACTCTGTGTCCCTAGAGTCCATGTGTCACCTTCTTTACTTCCATTAATTCACTCACTTCTTCAAAGTGCACAAATTTCCTTCATATCCTTGTCTCTAAATTCCAAGAGCTGTATTTTATTTTTTTTTCAGTCTGTGCTTGGTAGGCTGCAAATTGAAACAGTTTAAAAAATAATCTACTTAATAATCTAAGAACATTTAGTGAAGATATTTAGATACAGAAACAGTGTGCATTGCAGTAAAGGACAAGGCATCACTAGTCATCTTGCCTGGATTCAAATCCCAGCTCAAAAACTTATGGCTGTAACATTGGCTGGGTTACACAGCATTTCTGTGACCTACTTTCCCCTCTCTAAAGTAAGGAGAGTTATATAACTCCTTGATGGGTGTTACTAGAAGATTACATAAGTTTTTATACTTTCAGTGCTTAGAACACTGTTTAGCACATATTGTCATAGACAGTTGACTTAAACAATGTGGCAGTTAGGGGCACTGACCCCCTGTGCAGTCAAAAGTCTTACATAACTTTTGACTCAAAAAGTCAACCATGCTGGGCATGGTAGCTCAAGCTAATTATAGCATTTTGGGAGACTGAGGCAGGAGGCTTGCTTAAGCCCAGTTTGAGACTAGTCTGGGCAATGTAGTGAGACCTCATCTCTACAAAAAATAAACAAAATTAGCCAGACAGTGTGGTGTGCACCTGTAGTCCCAGCTACTCAGGAGGCTGCGGTGGGAGGATTGCTTGAGCCTAGGATTTCAATGCTGCAGTGAACTGAGATTGCACCACTGCACTTCAGCCTAGGCAATAGAGTGAGACCCTTTCTTAAAAAGAAAACAAAAACAGAAAACATAGCTACTTGTAGCCTACTGTTGACTGGAAGTCTTACTGATAATATAAAAGTAAATCCATGCATATTTTGGATGTTATTTGAATTATATACTGTATTCTCACTAAAAACAAAGCTAGAGAAAAGATGGTATTAAGGAATCATAAAGAAGAGAAAATTTATTTACTATTCATTAAGTGGAAGTGAAGCATCCTAAGTGTCTGCATCCTCATTGTTTTCATACTGAGTAGACTAAAGAAAGGGGAGAAGAGGATGGGTTGCTCTTGGTGTCTCAAGGGTGGCAGAGGGAAGAAAATCCATGTATAAGTGGATCCACACTGTTCAAACCCATATTGTTCAAGGCTCAGTTGTATTATAGTATTAGCTATTACTGCTTTCATTATCTTTTTATAAAAATGTAATCTCTGAAATTACTGAAGACTTTTCTGTTTTCTTACCATATCTTTTTGTGTATCAATCTGAGCAAGTTCTGATTTCTGTGAACTGCAAAACATTTTACTGGCTGTCCAATTTCTGGTATCATCAGAAAAACAGAAACACTTATCTCTTACTCCAAGCCAGTCCTCTGTACATGCCACAGGTTTAGCAGGTATTGAACATATGACAAAAAAAAAAAAAAAAAAAAGAAATGATCAGATAAAGCGTAAGTTAAAAAGTGTTTCTACTCATTCTGCTGTATTCATTTTTTGCTTTCATGGTTTGAGGCCTGTAAATTAGCTTCAACCCTAGAATGAAGATGAATTAACTTCCCCCATCTGTAAGGAAGATCATTTAGTAATCAAGCAGAATATGCTTTTTTTTTTTTTTTTCCCCACTATTTTCCTGGTGTCCATTTTGAGAAATGGTGGTACTCATGTAGGGCAAACTCAAATGTCGGGCAAACTCCAAAGCCTGCATCCCGTACTCTATCATGATTTATTATTGTTGTTGCTGTTGTTGTTGTAGTGCTCAGAAGTGGATACATGCCACTACACAGGGTATAAAACACATTGTGTTTTAACTCTCTCTTTCTGCTTTTTAAATTTCTACTTTAAGTTCTGGGATACATGTGCAGAACGCGCAGGTTTGTTTCATAGGTATACATGTGCCATGGCGGTGTGCTACACCTATTAACCCATCATCTAGTTTTAAGCCCTGCATGCATTAGCTATTTGTCCTAATGCTCTCTCTCCCCTTACCCACTACCCTTTGACAGGTCCCAGTGTGTGATGTTCCCCTCCCTGTGTCCATGTGTTTTCATTGTTCAACTCCCACTTCTGAGTAAGAACATGCAGTGTTTGATTTTCTGTTCCTGTGCTAGTTTGCTGCGGATGATGACTTCCAGCTTCATCCACGTCCCTGCAAAGGACATGAACTCATTCTTTTTTATGGCTGCATAATATTCCATGGTGTATACATGCCATATTTTCTTTATCTAGTCTATCATTGATGGACATTTGACTTAAATAGTGCTGTAATAAACATATATGAGCATGTGTCTTTATAGCAGAATGACATATAATCCTTTGGGTATATACTCAGCAATGGGATTGCTGGGTCAGATGGTATTTCTGGTTATAGATCCTTGAGGAATCGCCATATTATCTTCCACAATGATGGAACTAATTTACACTTCACCAACAGTGTAAAAGTGTTCCTAATTCTCCACAGCCTTGCCAGGATCTACTGTTTTCTTACTTTTTAATAATCACAATTCTGACTGGTCTGAGATGGTATCTCATTGTGGTTTTGATTTGCATTTCTCTAATGACCAGTGATGATGAGCTTTTTTTTCATATGTTTATTGGCCATGTATATGTCTTCTTTTGTCTTTCTGCTCTTTTTAATCAATGGGTAAATTAATATAAAAAACTTCTTATAGAAACTCTTGTCTACATTTAACTTTCAGATGTTAAGACACCAATAACATTAAGCTCTAATACTACAGTGACAAAAGAGACTATAAACAAGAAGACTATCAGTATTCTTGAGAATGACCAAAACCAAACCAAAAACAAAACAAATAAGAATCAGTGGTGCTAAGCACTAACTTAGCAAAATTTAAGTACTAAATTGAGTGAAACATGCATATTGAAAATCAAGCGCTGAGGGCTATTCAGCCATAATTAAATTCTACTTTTGGATCCATTTCACAAAATAAACCCATAGTACCCAGCTTCATTTTTACGAATATTGCAACTCCTACAATGAAACAATCTTGCAACTAGTCACATATGCCATTATTCCTTCATTTTTTCATTTAACTTAATATGATAGTAAAGGAGTTCAGAACATGATGCCCGAAAATATGTCACTTTAGCATATAGACTATTTTGAGTTAAAGGTACTTATAAAACAGCAAACGCAAGACAAAACACTCTGAACTTTCTTTTTTTTCTTATAAGCAGGAGATAAAATACCTACGTGAAAGATAGCCTCTCTATACTAGAAGGAAAGTAACAGTCTTATAACCAAGGATAGGTAGTTGAGGCCAAAGGAAATGTGTACAAACAATGTTGGTTAAACTAACATTTAGCTTTCTGTTCACTTTACCACCCAATTAATTATGCTAGATCAACCCCCTTTTTCTTGCCACCTTTTCATAATTTATTACCTTATGTTTAATTAAGTATATGTGTTCAGCTCGAATTGAATCTTTACGCTTTCATAAGGAAGACATACATGTCACATAAAACTTACATTAGGCCAGGTGCAGTGGCTCACGCCTGTAATCCTACCACTTTGGGAGGCCGAGGTGGGTGGATCACCTTAGGTCAGGAGTTCAAGACCAGCCCGGCCATCATGGTGAAACCCCATCTTAAAAAACAAACAAACAAACAAAAACCTATATTAAATAAATGCATGTGTTTTGCTCAAGTTGATGTGTTTTGTGACAACTTCATTCTCAGGCCCAGCAGCAAAACCCTGAGATGGTAGAGGTAAAATTTTGCCTCTTGACTAACAGAATAAGTAAATGTTTTATAGAACAATGGTTAATGGCATAACTTACTCTTGATTAAAAAGAAATTAAAGGAATGCTACAATTATGGAAGTACAGCTACATGATTTTTAAAATTTATCACGCATTACAGTTACACAGACAAGGTTTTTGATCCTAGGTCTGGAATTTATTATTTGTGAAAGGCAACTTACCCATTCTGTCCTGTATATTTTTTTTTCTGTAAATGGGTTTTCTTATATCTGTATCCTAGTCTAATGAGGATTAAATACAAATAACAGAATATAGTGTATTTAACATGAGCTTACTAATTCACAAACTCTTAAAAAGAAAATTAGTTGTAACAAGTCCACAAAACTGATGTTTATGTAGGTTAAAAAAAAAAGTAAATATAGAAATTGGTCCTCCTGGTCTTAAAGCTTGAAACTTACATTTGTCTTATTTGAGTTCCTTCTTTAGGAATCTGACCCTTAGGCCTCCCAGATAGTATCAAGAAACTGAAAGTCACCAGATCACCACAGCCAGACAGAGATGCCCAACTCCTCCCTGTCATGATAGCCTATCCGACCACCTGCTCCCTGTTGACCAACTCTTTTCTGCCCCTCCCTAATTCCTATTGATCAACTCCCACTACTCCTTTTTATCACTCCCTAACTTGTTTTCTCACACATAGTTACCTTTCCTGCTGTATGAACCCCTAATTTTAGTGAGTTGGGTAAGTGAATTTGAGACTGATTTCCCATTCTCCCTGTTGCTGTCTCCCAAATAAAAAGTCTTTTTCCCTGGCAATAGTCATCATCTTCGGGATTGGCTTTCTGTGCCGTGAGCAATGGGACCTAGACTGAGCCCCTGGCATTTCAGTAACATAGCTATTGCTATTGCCATCAGGTGGTCATCTGAGAATTTAAGATTATTTTTCTTAAATATCAAGAACCATAAAGTCAAGAATATAATGCTATTGTGAGACTGTGAGTGTTTTAGGGAGAGGTAAGGATTATGGTAAAGCCTGTTGTACTGGCAAAAACTTGAGGACAAGTTCACTATAAAACCCTTTAATTTTTCCAGATCTGGGAAATTTGGAGTTAGGCTTGAGATAGAAATGGACCTGTCAGGTGTGAAGAACCATAGAAAGTGTGTAAGTTAAACCACTCACCTATTATTGTAGAAATTAACACTATAATAATCAGGAAGCGCATACCAAGGCAAATATTCCTGCTGCAAACTGCAAATTAAATCAACACATACTATAAAATTTCTAAATAAACACTGACTGGATATTATTACTGGTGTATTCCTCCCTCATAACTGTTAATCAAAAATTCTCAATAAAAGCATATACATATTAAAATAATAAAGAATAGAAAACCATCACAAAGTGCAAGGAAGGTAAGTAACCCCCCCCCCCCGCCAAAAAAAAAGATTGCTATAGCTGTTCAGATGGAGAGAGGGTGAGTGGAGAAATCACTTAGTCTTAGGGGAATGAGGAAGGAAAGGAAAGGTTACTCAGAAGGTGGAAATAGTTTGAATGGGGGATTGTAAGCAAAAGAGCATAAAGATCATCAAGATACATGATAAGCATAAATGTTTATAACAGATATATAAGGCAATAAAATTGAAGACAGTAAAAAAAAAAAGTCATATGGTCATGACGGAAGATTTTAAATATTTTTTTCTTTATTCTTTAAGCCATAGCAGAAAGAAACAATGTGTTTGAGCAAGCGACTATCAAGATAAAAACTGTAATTTATTTATTTCTGGTAAGCAGAAAAAATTAGAGAAGACCCAGGATTTCTCACTCATGGAAAAGCTATGAGGCTAAGAACAAATAATAATTCTATTAATGATAAAATAATTGTATTTGATACATTATTAGATGTAGAAACAATCTAAGAAGAGTGTGTACATATATATGTACATATATAGATGTATATATGTATATATTATATATGTGTATATACATATATATGCATGGCTTAGTAATGGGGAGATATTTTGAGAAATGTGCCTTTAGGTGATTTTGTCATTGTGTGAACATCATAGAGTGTACTTACACAAACCTAGACAGTATAGCCTACTAACACCTAAGCTATATATTACAGACTGTTGCTTCTAGACTATAAACCTGGATAGCATGTTATTGTACTAATTACCGTAGGCAATTATAACACAATGCTAAATACTTACATACCTAAACATAGAAAAGGTACAGTAAAAATACCACATAAAAGATCAAAAATGGAACACATTTACAGGGCAGCTTCATTACAATCTTATGGGACCATTGTTGTTATGCAATCTGTCATGGACCAAAACATTGCTCCATGGTGCATGACTATATATGTACATAGTGTATACACATATTGTGTGTGTGTGTATATGCATGCCTATATGCATATATGCTTTACATGTACATATACATATATTTATATATATATATACACGTATACATACATATGTTCAAATGTTAGAAAAGAGGACTTGAAGAAAGAAAAACTTAAAAAGAAGTTATAAGCTTTCTCTATTTCTTCAGAGCCTAAAGCAGCCTTAGTGAATGAAAACTAAAAAAGTTCTTAGTTTTCATGATCACCAGACTACAGATAATGTGTAACAAAGCAATTTCAAGAAAGCATTGAGAGAAGCCAGATTCTAAGATGTTTACAAAGAGAATGTTTGCTAAGAAGA